TCCTAGGCATTTAAATACTTGGTCTCCAGATGGTGGCATTGTTTGGGTAGGTTAAGGATACACGGCCTTGCTGGAGGAAATATGTTGCTGGGGGCGGGTTTTGAGAGTTTTAATGATCCTGCCATTTTCAGTTTGCTTTCCCTGCTTTGTGCTTGCCGCTGAAGATGTGAACCTTCAGCTTCTGATCCTGCCGCCATGCCTGCCCTAGTCACCAAGCCTCCCCTCTGCCGTCATGGACTCGTAGCCCTCTGGAACCATAAGCTCAAATAAACTTTTTAAGTTTCCTTGCTTGTGGTGTTTTAGCTCATCAATGGAAAAGTGACCAATACATGTTACATCCTGACAGTGCGAGCCTCAGGCTGAACTTACATAACTGATGCCTTTAAGGAAAATAATTCTCTCCACAAATTGTTAGCCTGGAAGCATAAAATGTGTGTCTATAAATAAAGTAAATTTCACTTTCGTTTGACGGTATCATTTCCTGCTTTACTGATTTTTCAATGAGAATATAAAATAATGGATTTTATAGTGACATTTTCACACTGATGTCATTGTGCATGCTCAGTCCCCCCCCCCCCCCCCCGAGTGCTCTTCCTTCCCTCTTGCTGGTGTCCTTCCTCCCCCTTGAGGTAGTCCCCCTTCTGTCTTCACTTCTCATGCGAGGATGCACATGCTGCTAAATCTGCACTCGAATGCATGAGAAAACACATATGATATCTTGTCTTTCTTCCCGCCGGTCCTCCTCTTGTCTCCCTCCCCCCCCCTTAAAGCCATTTCATTAAAATCTGCACAAGGCACTGAGGAGACACTGAGGGAGACGTAATGATAGGCCTGGGCTCTGCTCGCCAGGAATCCAGGTTGGGAGAAAAGGCTGGCCGCATGAGGCTATTCCATCACGGGGTCACAGTGCCATGAAGGAGTGAGTGAAAAGAAGAACACAGGAATATGAAAACACACCAACAAAAGATAGATGATTTCTGGGTAAGAGAAAACTCCCTAGAAATAGCTATCTTGATCAAGAGTGAGAGAAATATGGCAAACTAAATAGTGCGGATGGGTATGCCATGTGCAAAGGAATAATAAGCAAAGTTCCTAGAGACAAAACAGTATGGCACACTTATGGGGAGGGTCACAGGTACGTAATGGAGATGCAGTAGGAAAGGGGTTCACATAAGGCTATGCATGGTCTGAATGATGCCTTCCCTGTGCTATAGATTGTGATACGCCAATGACTGACAGCTTGTTGCCCAAGTCCCCATTGCCGACACTCTCCAACATCATTTGGTACTGTAAATACAAGCAAAAATGGAAGTTTCGTTTTATTAGTAGGGTCAGTCCGAAACTGAAATGAGTAAAGGAGAAGAGATGAGAGAGGGTTAGGAGCTGTGTTTGCAAGCATCGTCCAGGATGGTCTTCGGGAAACTGGAAAACCATTAGGTGGGGTTGTCTTAGAGTTACTATTTCTATAATGAAACGCCGTGACAACAAGCAACTTGGGGAGGAAAAGGTTTATTTGGCTCCACATTGCTGTTGACCATCTAAAGAAGTCAGGACAGGAACTCAAACGGGGCAGAAACCTGGAGGCAGGAGTTAATGCAGAGGCCATGGAGGAGTGCTGCCTACTGGCTTGCTCCTCATGGCTTGCTCAGCCTGCTTTCTTACACAACTTAGGACCACCAGCCTAGGAATGGTCCACCCACAATAGGCTGGGTCCTCCCCCAACAACCACTGATTAAGAAAATGCCCTACAGGCTTGCCAATAGCCAGATTTTATGAAGGCATTTTCTCAATTAAGGTTCCCTCCTCTTGGATGACTTTAGCTTGTGTTAAGTTGACATAAAAGTGCCCAGCACAGTGGTTAATTTACATGAGTGTGCATTTAAGGAAGTTATAGTACAATAGGAAATCTAGTTTTTGATAGGACTCTCAAATACCTAAAGAATCTGAAGTCAACAACACAGAAAAACTCTTCCTTATCTCTCCCTATTATTTATTTCCTAATCTTCAGAGTCCTCAGAAATCTGAAGATATTTCAGTTTTTCTCCCAGAGAAGCCTTCACTCTGTCTACAAAGTTCTGTTATTATAATCTTAGTTTCTTAAGCCCCTTCTCTTCTCTCATTGCTAGAGTCTCTTCCATCTAGTTTTGTTTTTCTACACCCAGCTTCAATAATTCACTCTTCCCTTCCCTTCCCCATTCTTCCTTTTTTCCTTTCTTCTCCTTTCCTCTGTCTCTCTACCCCCTCTTACACTATGGCTTAAGCCTCATGCTTCAGGCACTCTGAGCTATGCACGCAGCCCTCACTTAAAATATTTATACATAGATTTTATCCTTTCTCTTCTCAGCCAACCAAACCCGGTGCAGCTAAAACAAATCGGCTGCTTTGTGACCAGAGAGGGACAGTAGAAGGCTCTAAATTTTCATATGCTAATTATTTGGGACCATTTGCAATAACTAAACTCTACAATGGTCAGAAAAGGGTAGAGAGGTGGTGGGATAATGAGGCCAGAGGTGTGGAAGTCAGGTAACATAGATGTAGACCCAGAACCCCACAGCCAACTACATGAGGATGGAGGTAGAGAAGGTTAGGGTTTTAAGACTGCTTTTTAGGTGGTCTCTAGAATAATCTAATAGTGTATACTGGCCACCATGACTGGGGAGTGTAACAGAGGGATGTATTCAAGATACAGACAAAGAAGATGGCAAATCTGATCCTGAGATAGCAGCATGATGCTAGGTCACAGTTAGGAAAGCACTGCTTCAGTCTGATGCTAGCTGTCAGCAGTCTCCTTCCTGATCTGTGTACTTTAAAATAGTACTGATGGATGAACACTTCGGGAGACCGGCTATACAAGGATCATTTCCAAAGGAAATACATTCTCTTTGCTTTGTTTTCAGCCCTCTGTGCTCCCTGCCCCTCCAACACACACATTTTTTTTTCCTTTCTCTTCTGAGTAGGTAGCAGCATCTCACTGAAGGTTTTCTCTAGGGATAATGTTGTAAGAAACGCACATTAAAAACACTTAGGGGTTATAATCACAGGATGACTAAGACAGAAAGAGCTCAAAGGAGTTGGAAATGGTTGTTTATCGGCATAGAAGTGGGAGTTGAAGAGCTGTAAAGGGATGATTCACTTCCAGGGCATGGGAAGAGAGAGTGATGTTGGTAGCAGCACTCTCGATGACCTTTGACATCTCAGAGAGCATGCAGAGAAAGGAATTTGGAATGACACTCAGTTGTGATGGCAAAATCATGAATTTCCAAGTATAAAAAGCAATCGAACCTCTTTAAGATTCAGTCTTTTAACCTGAGAAATAATGCCCAGCTTGTTAGGTTATATCAGAATTTAAAACTGATACAATAGGAAGACACATGTCCAACTCAATAAATACTATTATTAACAGTTTTCATTTAAACTTTCCTGATGAATTAAAAGAAAAGCCTTGATGAATATAAACTGGTATGTTGAATTCTAGCTATTGGACAATTACTTTAGAAAAATCTAGAAACTCTATACAAAAAAAACCAACAACACCAGTTCAGATGAGCCTGAGACAACAGCAGCGTGGTGGAGGCAGACCCTCTACAGTCAGGAGACAAGTAGGTACCACAGGGATTTCCCCCAAGGCACCAGGGACACAGAGCTTTAAAATCCGCCTGTCCTGAGGAGATGCTGGAAGATAGCGTCAGAAGCTTGGGAAGTACACCTGCCTCCCTCCACGCACAGAGAGGGAGGTAACAGAGTAAGTCTGGAGCTTTCCTCCTACCACCGTCATTAGCTGGCACCCTAGGGCAGGCCAGTGGCGAAACGTTTGCAACAGGATGCTGAGCTAGTGTGGCCGACTTCTGCTAGACCAGGTCACGAAGCTGCACATGCAGACACGAGCCATTTTCAGTACTGGTCAAATGAGTAACTGAGGTAAGGAAAAGACTGGGTTTAGGGATTAAAGATCTGTTCCGACACATAAGGTTGGGTTTTGTTTGTTTGTTTGCTTTCCTTCAGCACAAAAAGATGGGACAATTAAAAAGATTTTCCAAAGTCAGCGCACCTCACATAGTCGGTGGGCGGTCACGAGGATGCATTATTTTTACAGTCTTTTCTGCTTGCATTCTGAGCGGCTCTGAGGAACTAGTGCTATTGAGGGTGGCCGTTTGACATGCCTGGCCAGCATCCTTTATCAGGATTAGCCCACGCAGCCCAGATGGAGATGACCAGAAGGATGACAACCAGTTTTGGGGACATGCTTACGGTGTCAGGGTCATTCATAGTCTCAGGGGTAGGTAGCTAGGTGACGGTTTACGGACACTAACACACAAGGCTATCCTGCCTATTGGTGCTCACAGACAGGCTAACGTGCAAATGAACATGCCCCAGACATTCATGAGGTCTTCAACAAAGATGCTGCAGGGACAAATGGACATCCATGATGCACTGTGATTTAGGGTTATTTTCCCAAATATCACAAGACTGGGGTAAATGAGTGCACATAAAGTGTGCTACTCAGACTGACTTAAGGGTTGGGAATGGCTTCTACAATCCCCCGGAGCCTAAGCACCCAGCCAACAGATCTCTGGGCAGCTTGCCTTTTGAAACTTTCCAGGGGCTTTTTTTTTTTTTTTTTTTTTTTCCATGAACTAAAGTTTCAGGATCTCTGCCTCAGATCGAAGTTCTATGTGTCAGTAACCACTGAACGCCACTTCGGTCTCTTCCCTGACTTTCCTGGCATCCTTCTCTACATTCAGTGCTTTGCAGATGCGCCATCAACATAGACTGCTTGTACCATCTGACCATATATAAGAGCACATTTTTTTTTCATTTTTAGCATCTTCAAGAACATGAGCTTTACTTATGGAGAAGTTGTAAAAATACTGTTTTTTAACTTTATGGTTTGTTGTACAGTGGATAAACCTCATTTATGACTTCTGACAAATTCCTGTTCATTTTCAGGATTACAGTTGGTATGAATCATGGGATAGAAAAAAAAGAAGAAAAACACTTACATGGGCTGTAAGTTTCTCTTGGGAGGCTTTTACTTCAACTTGCAGCTTCTCGATGCACTGGAAAGGAGAAGGGTTTAGAGAGCAAGTGTCTGATTCTTTATAGTCCAAGTATCCCACAAGTAAATACGTGCCTGTTCTCCATCTGCCGACTGGCAGCATTATGATTCTAGCTAGGTGTTAAGGAAACCAGTACCAGAGAGAGAATTTCTCTGTCTATGAGAAAGCCTGAGGGCAAAGTACAAAATACGTTAACTATTAGGAAATGGTCGAAGGGGGGGCAGATGATAGCTTGAGGTGATGAGGTTAATGCTAGTATGTGTGTGTGTGTGTTTGTGTGTGTGTGTGTGTGTGCACCTGTGTATGTGCACACACGAACATTTACAAAAAAACATATCCATAAATATACACAAACTCTATGAATTGAACAAAAGTCAAATTTACATAATGATACACACTTAATTTTTCAGAGATCTATCACTTAAATTAAAAATACGTGTGCTGGAGAGTTTTGTGTCTAGCTTGACATGAGCTAGAGTCATTTGAAAGGAGGGACCCACAATTGAGAAATGTTTCCACAAGATCTGACTGTCAAACATTTTCTTAACTCATGATTGATGAAGTAGGGCCCAGCCCCATTGTGGATAGTGCCATCCCCAGGCTGGTGGTTATGGGATCTATACACAGCTTGAGAAAGTCATGAGAGCAAGCCAGTAAGCAATACTCCTCCATGGCCTCTGTGTTGACTCCTGCCTCTAGGATCCCGCTGTTTGAGTTCCTGTCCTGACTTCCTTCAATAATGAACAGCCGTGCTGAAGTGTAAGCCAAATAAATTCTTTCCTCCCCAACTTGCTTTTGGTCATGGTGTTTCGTCATCCTTACTAAGATAATATGTCAAATTTTAAGAACCATTGTTTTACTATATAGAAATGAGTCTTTCATCAGGTCCAATCCTGAAAACCAAGAAATATGTGTATGGCTGACACCATGTACAAAATACATAGACTATGAGGGTAATATTTCCCAAAAGGGAACATCATCAAAAGAAAAAAAAAAGTTTAAAAATGTAATGAAAAAAAAAATCTTTGAATGTTCATTAGAAAAATAAAGTGTTGTATTCACCTCCATGAACTTAAATATTAACTTATTTTTTTTTGTTTTGGAATGCTAAGGATTGAACCCAGGCCCTTGTACACTCTAAGCAAATCTCTACTATTACCAGAGATTTTAGGTTAAAGAGTTGGGCTCTGGCACTCCCAACAAACTAGGCCTGGGCCTCTATCCCAATAAACCAATTTAGAGAAATATTGGGAAAGGCAAAAGAAAGGAGATATTTGTGTAGTATGACCACATTGGGAAGAGGAATAAATATAGGGGTCCAGTGACCCCCAAGCCCAATTTCTGGAGCACTGATGTGAAACTAGAAGGCAAGAATTCTGCACAGTAAAGCGCTGTGGGTCAAGATGTGATCCAAACAGCACGAGCCCATCATTTTCGGTTGTATCTGTCCTGCACAGCAGTCCTCTACTACAGTAAGCTGTTAACTTTAGAATGCAGCCTTACCATTGTGGACAATCACCCTCATCTTGTGGGGGTGGGGGTGGGTGAGGGATAGAGGGGGTGGAGGTGCCTTTTCCTCCCAGGGTTTGGTCTTCTAGAATCCTAGGTGACCATAGGTTTAGACAACAACTTATCTCTGTGCCCTCGGCCAGAAACAGACACAGAGTGAAGAAGACAGGTGTCCAATTTCCCTTATGCTTTTTGTTACCCATGGGCCATAAGGATGAGTCAACACTTTTAGTAAAAACAGCTCCTAAGTGCCTGTTTCATTACGGCTGAGTGACAGGCCCAGCCCATTAAATGGGGACTTTCAACCCAGCAATGGCTTACAGACTTGTCACATGCGGTTAAGTAACTCTTAAAACATGACCTTTCCTCCACGAACCTTGTCTTTCTCAAGAACCATGTTTTCGTAGGACACTCTGCTAGCACTCCTCTGGTTCGCAGCCTCCAGCCTTTCCTCCAGCTTGGCAACTCTGTCAAGCAGTTGGGATTTTGCTTCTTCGGAGGCTGCAAGCTAAAGACATGTTTTCTGTGAGGACCTGGAATTCAGAGGTGCTTCAAAGGCTTCTTCTAAAATGTCAATTTAGGAATGAATTGTCTTCTACTAATATAAGTCTTTTGGTAAAGAGCTTCTGCAACATTCTCTACACATGACAAATGATGCGGGAGAGAAGGAAATATTGTTGAGATATAATTTCATTATTTCTGAGATGGATAAGAGAGGTAAGAACACAGTCCCAATAAGGAGAGACATTTCTGTTTGTCAAGGTCTCAGCACTCACCTCCTCCTCTATGTTCTGGGGTTCCATGGTTAGCACAGCTGCCTCTGAACCCCATCTTGTGGTCACACATAGTTCTTGAAACTTAATGCTTGGGAGTCTACAGCTCTCCACAGAATGTGTGGGTTCTCACTCCCTTCACTATTTACCAAAAGAGCAGCAGTGTTGGAGGCAGAGGGGAACGTTGAAAGTTAAATGTCTCAGTTTAAACTTGGATTAAAGCCAGATCTGTGCAAATCACAATCAAAATATCCCTTTGTGATGGTTCTGCTATTCGGATCCCTTTTGAAGGAGGGTGGTGCAGTGGCCCTAGTCCCTTGGAGAGCCCCTAACTGGCTCTTCCTTCCTCTCAGACAGCTCATTGCACTCTCTCTCTGAAACTCAGCAGCACTCTTGAGGGTCGCAGGAAAGTTTGGGGCATTGTGTGTTCACTGCGACTCCCTGGTGATCTTGGAACCATAGATCACCTCTGAGTATGTCTTTCACATTATCCTGGATGTTACTGCAAAAGATACTCTTTTTGTGTCTTGAAAACAAGTGTTTTTAAATAGTTCACCATGTGAAGAAGGCAATCTGAAAGCAAATGCTAGCATACCTTACACCACATACTGGCTCTCCCAGTCTATCTACACAATCATTCATGTAACAAGTCTGTTAGCTGGCACTCAATACAGCCACTGTGTTATGTGCTGCGAGTCCACCAGGGGTATGTATACTCAGGACCAAAGGAAAGGCACATTGCAAGAACTATTGGTGGTACCTTTCCTTTTGAAGTGTTTGGGGAGGCCCAATGTGCTTTTATGGCCACTAGCACAGTCAAGTCTTGGGCACAAGGTGGCTTGGGAATGTTGTCTGGCTTCCCTGAACCTGCTTCTGTCTTACTAGAGAAGAATAGCCTATCATGTGGACTCTGAGGCAAAACCTCAGCTTTACTAAGTGATTGGGGCAACGTGCTCAGCCTCTCTGGGCTTCATTTCCTTTTACACTGAGCAGGGAAAGAAAAGAATGTTACTTAATACACAGGGTTTGAAAATGATGTACGTTTATAAAAGAGCAACACTCAGATGGATAGTTGTAACATATCAAGTACTGAATATTATTATTCTCATTATTCTTCTGCCCCCTCTAACCACAGTGAGCACTCATTGGAGTTGTAAGAGTATTTTTATTATTCTTTGGGAATTGCTAACACTGGATTTTGATCCTATTCATTCCCTCCCCATCTCCTCCTAGATCCACCCCCAATTCTATACCCGACCCAATTTTGTGTCCTCATTCATTATCTTATAAAATACCCATCAAGTCCAATTAGTGTTGCCTTTATACTCTTGGGGATGTGGCCTTCCAATGGAGCTTGCTGGACACACTATGTATGGGCCACACCCTTAAGAACGACTAACTCTCCCTCTCCCAGAAGCTAGGTCCTTAGTTAGGGGTAGGACTTCTTGCCCCATCTCCACCATGCTGGGATTTCCTCTGGCTTGAGCTTGGGCATGTTTTGTTCATGTTATTGGAACTGTTGTGAGTTCATATGTGCGACTTCCTTATTGTACCTGGAAGACATGGCTTCCTTGGAGTCTCACTGCCACTGGCCCTTATATTCTTTCTGTCCATTTTTCCATAATGATCTCTGAGATCTCTCTCTCTCTCTCTCTCTCTCTCTCTCTCTCTCTCTCTCTCTCTCTCTCTCTCACACACACACACACACACACACACACACATACACACACACACACACACCCAATTAGATTTGGTTTGTTAATTTCTTGACATTATTAGAGAAAACCTTTATTTATGGAATTATTTTCTCTCAGTTGGGTACATTCTGTTTTCATATCCTGTCTGATCTATAAAATATCTTGTCATTACTTGATTGCTTTTCTTGTTAATCCATCTTCTGTTTAGAGAGTCTTTATTCCTTCTCAACAACTATTAATTTACTCATTTGTTGCAGAAATAAGTTTGTTTTTTGTTTATATGTAAGAAATAGAAGATTGAAAAATGAAAATATTATTCTTACCTTCAAAAAAACCTTCACATTTTAACTAGAAAGGTAGACAGTTTAAAAGTAACTATAACACAAGATGGAACTGTACAGATGAATAAATAATGAGTAACTATATCAATAATTTTTCACATTTATTACAGGATTGCTATATAGCAGACATTATGCAAAACCTTTTATTTTTAACTTATTCCAGCATTTCAATTTAATTCCTCAAGAAGTTTGTGCTGTTGTTATTCCCATTTTACAGGCAGTAGATTGAGTTTCAACCAGGTTGAACTTTGATTTGGAGTGTTCTCTTATCTACCAGATATAACCACATTGTAGCCATCCTACAAACAACAGGCAGGCCAGGCACATGAGAAGACAAATATAAACTATACCCAGTGTACTATATTGGTGGTCAAAAAAAGGTATTGATACATTTTAAAGTCATATTGAAGTAATAGGCTCAAAGAATTAATCTTGATACAAATAACACCTGAGTTGGCAAAAATGGTCAGAATCAATTCACTGAAGTATTTTAGAGTTCAGAAGAAAACTTTCTGGTTCTAAAAAAGTCTTTGATGAAGAAGAATATCAATATCCAAATAAATCTCTATCATCACTGGCTAACTACACAAATAATAAAAAGGACTTCAGTGACTACATATGACAAGAAATCTAGTCTTTGCAAAATTGGTACAAAGAAAAATCACTAACTAAATGGACAACTATCTTCAAGGAGTGATATCACCAATTCTTAGGGGCGAAAAATAGGATCTGACATTTAGAATTTCTACATCTCAGTAATTAGCGTGTCTAGTTCTCAATAAAACTACCATCCTTCAAAATACAATATGACTTTTTTTTTTAGGGAAAACAAAGAAGTCATTTCTTAACAAGAATCATTGCATGGAATCCTAGAGAAGGAATTCTAGACTTTTGGACCAACAACAACAAAAACTTATTATCTTAAATGTGTTCAGAAGTAAGAACACAACCAACCAAACAACCAAACAAAACCATGGACAAAACATCAGTAAAGGAAATTGAGAGAATAACGTGTAAGCAAATAAGAAATAGCAAAAAGATTATAAAAGGGAGCCAAGCAATTCAAGAGTTGCTTTAGTGAAAATCCACTAGGAAAACACAGTACAAGCTAGAAGATGGAAGAATCAGAGAGCCAGAAGAGAGCCCTCTTTATCAACTCAGATGGGCATAGCAACATCTACCACAGTCTACTCAGATGGGCTTAACAACATCTACCACAGTCTACATGTTTCAAACAAAGAATACTATAAATGAGACTATGTAAGTGGCTCACTCTAGTCTCTTCTATTTCCTGTAAGAAAATCATGTCACTCTAGATACTTTAGCTTCAAGATTATTTCTAGACCTAATTATTTTCCAAAGGATTAGGACCTCATCATATGCAGTCAGGACATGTTCAGTCTTTAGCATTTCACATCTAGCCCTCCTCAAATTCATGTTGTGCTTATATACAAATGCATCTGCTCTCAACAGCCCCCAAAGTCTTAGCTTGTACAACCTTCAACTTTAAAGTGAAAGTTTCATCAAAATATTCTCTGAATCACATATTAGCAAAACAGTTCATCTAGAGGTAGCATTATTTTCCAGCTGGGAAACCACACAATTCATATGCTTCCAAAATATAGTGGTCAAATAGGTGTAAGATACACATTCTCATTCCACAAAGGAGACATAAGGAAGGAAAAATGAATTCTTTGAGCCTGTAAGGCTTGAGAATCATCCTCTGATGTGTTGTGGTTCTGTTGGGCAACATTTGATCCTTTGTGGCCCGGCACAGTGTGGGTCATACCACCAAGGACTCTGCTGAGTGGAAGTTTCATCTCTAGGGCTCTGCTACATAGGGGCCACACTTCCAGAATTCTGCCACATTGAGTCTTGTTCCTAGGATTCTGCCATGCTGGCTTGCACCTCCATAGTTTCAGATGACCCCACAACCATGGCTTGTTCAGCTCATTGAGATTAAGGATAACACATTTACATGTGCATAGCTGAATTATCTTCTGTAGAATCTAGGAAACCAGAGACCCTCCCTTCATCTCATTGACATCTCTTATAGCTGAAATTCTTAGTGTTCCTATTGAAGGTGCTGAGTAGTAGGTCTGCGGCTCACACTCATAACTATCTCCTTAAAAGACAGCTCCATGGTAAATACCCTTGGCATCCTCTGCAACATAAATAAGCCAAGAAATTTCTGTTGTTTGCTTGACAATTATTTTTTTCAATTTGCTTATCTTGTTATCTGCTCCTTCAATACTTAGAATTCTTTTCAGCCAAATATCCAGTTTCATCACCGACATGTTTTACATTTCTCACAACAGGCTGTGGACACAATTCAGCCAGGATCATCTTCCTTCATTGTAAATACCATGTTCATCTTTTCCTTCTGTGACCTTGTTAGAATTCCTGTTAATATTCGCATGATTTGTGTTCTCTGAGAAGATGGAAGCTTTCTCTCTAGCTCTCTGCTTTTTTCTCCCAGTTCTCACCAGATTACCTTTGGTAGTCATTTCACAGTAATAACTACATCCCCCAAGTTCTAGGGATCTAACTGAGCCTAGTATACACCAGGCAAGCACTCAGTCCCTGATCTATGCCCTCCCAATATCTACTCATTAAGCATTTCCCTAAAGATTTCCAAGCCTCTACCCATCACCAAGCTCCAAATCATTTCTACATTTTAGGTACCTGCTACAACAG